TGCTGTTTCATGTTCAACATAAAATACTCTTAAACTTCTAGCATATAACCGCCAAAAGCTGATCTTCTTAATAAGGCAAACAAGCACGGCGTTAAGGGTCTCGCGAAATTAGTTAGCTACAACAAAGAAGTCACTAGTATAAGCAGGTTACGTAAAGGTCTGGTCTTCTCAACTTCATATAAGTTTCGTGGCGTATTACACAGTACTAATACGTTATTCTCTCAATCGTAACCCCCGCTAAGCCAATCTTTTAGCCAGTTTCCCGGTCTTAGCATTACCAGTAGCGGACACAAAAAGAGGAAGTTAACGGATAGGTTAAGCAATACGTCTAAGAGATCTCGGCCGAATAGTCAGGTGGCCGACACAGAGCGCAAAGAGAACGGAGCAACTTACCCCGCCCAAGAACCACAAGGTACCAGTCTTGTTCAGCAAGATCACGACCAGACACCTTATGCCAACCGCATCTTTCGCGTATTAGCCATCTTGCCGGCGGGACAGTCTATTACCCAGTTCAAGGGTGTTATCGAGCTGCTTAAAGGCCTTTATAACGCCATCAAAGTGCATTAATCACTCTATACAGACAGGAAAATTTTACACCAAGACATTTCCAAAAATAATATTATTATTACTAACCCAGAAAATGCCAATAGCTTCAAGGGCATACTCATCAACCTTGACTTAGCTAAGGAAGAAGGCAAAGGTCCTAGTAGGGCCCGGCATCGGACAGGCATAATGGAATTTATGGCTATTGAAGTTTTTCTAGGAATTTCGCACACATATCGCCATGATCTTGAAGTATTCTTTTATATTCTAATATGGCTCTGCGCTCGTCGAGGCTGGGCATTATCAAGAGCGTCAGGCCGGCGGCCGAAAAACAGTATACTATCGCGGTAGTATACTGGAGGTTATAAAGATATCGTGCAAAGCAAGCGTGGGGATATAGACAAAAATAGACTAGAAGTCATTCTGAGAGAATTTCCGGAAGTATTTGATAGTGTTAAGCCTTTATGCAGGGTAATAAGGGATATTCTGTTCCCGCATAAGAATAGTCTCTTCACTGGCACCCCACAGGATCCGAGTACCCTGTATGATCCAATCATCAAAGCATTCAATGATACTATAGCAGGGATTGGGCTGGGAGAAGCAAAGACGTGATACATCACGCGAAATAGTATAAATGATGCCGCCTCCGGAATTACACTTCTTTCCAGGTTCTCTATGTGGCACGGAGCGTAATATACCGGGTAGGTCTAACCGATAACAATAGCATGCCTTTCACGACCAGTAACCGTTCCAGATAGTGTTGCGGAAAATCATGTAAATCACACAGTCCATCCAAATCCCTCCGCTGATGTTTATCCCCACAACAAAAAGTCGCAGGCAGCCCCACACAATTGATAGTCAAAACGTGCCCGGGGGTTTCCGGTTAATACCGGGTCATCTGGCTTCATCACATGATTCTCAAAGCCGCAAAATCTAAACCTACGTAATAGTCCTGTGTTAGCCCCATTTTGCGTCCTTTAACCTCACCACGACCTTTTTCACGGGCATAAGGCGCTTTGCATCGAGATGACAGAGGTTTTACGGTTAGGCATCAATATGACTAAGGAGACTCTGATCGCCTCAGCGAGACTGTTAGTTTATATCTATACTCAAAGATCTCTTTACTAATCCAGGGTAGCCACAACCAGTTTCCTCCCAATACGTCGTTTCCTCAGATAGACGTACTATCCGAAGGATTCAAAGAACTCTGTGCAATCATTACAAAATACAACGCCCAGAGCCGTTTCCGACTGCGGCTGCTCCATCGCCACACCACCATTCCTAAAGAACAAATATTGCTAGGTACTAGCATTACAAAACCGCCCGGCTTCTGGACCAGGCCTACACCCATTTCCGACGTCGATTTGCAGAATATCCATCCCCACATTATCTCGGTAGATAACGAAGCGAGAAATGGCCGTCTATTCCCCTCCGAATTTCGCGAGGGTCCGCCAGCCAGTAATTGGAGCATCGAAAGCGGATTTTTTACGGAGTTCACCGACTACCTTCGGGTGAAGGGCTGGGAAAATATTTTTAGGCTTGAGATAATACAAGGTCAGACTGGGAAGATGATCGAGTTTTCTTTCGATATAGGGAGTCTTCTGCTTGAAGAGGCGGAGGTCAGTGGGCAGTTCGAGTCTCAGGAAACTGCATGGACTATCAGGGTCAGAGACGGTGCTGTCGACAAAGATGGTGAAACACGGTGTGTTATTATACAAGGCCAACACCTCAGAGCCACGAAAATGCTTGTGAAGAGCGTGTCGGATGTTTTGAAGGTATTGAGAGATGAAGGTGTATTACTGTAGTACATAAGTCCATGGCCTTTAACTTGATGTCCTTGCCGACCTTTAACCCGCGAATCAGCATCATAACACTGGAAGGCCGCCAATAGCTTGCTCGCATGCTTGAAAGAAGTCCGCTATCAGCTGCTTGTCCAACACTTCTATCGATACAAATACTCTGCCTTCAGTTTCGTTCCAGAATGTTCCACCAAACCCATCTCGTTAAATCAGCTCCATGAAACACTCTAATTTGATCGAGTATACCCCTTCAAATATCCTATTTGCTTCCGGAGCGGGTGAACGTATGAAAACCTCCCGTCCAAATGGCTTAACTATATCGCCCAACGCCTCTGAGAGCCTTAATAAGACGAATGGTACGAACCCTGGCAGGCTTCCGAACCATATGTCGCCCATAATATCGGTAGGCCTATCGAAAACCAACCGTTGAAGCAATTTCTTCTCGAATTGAATTACTCCTTTAAAGTATTAGCTGGCTCCAAATTCGTACGACAGCGATACTTACCAAGAGAAGTTGTTTGTACGTTTGAAGTTACTGGGGAAACTGAAGGAAGAACCGAATGTTGACCTGCTGGAATTAGCAGATGCCATTAGAATCGAGGCTGCTAGCTACCTGTGGTGACACCATCCGGCTCAGCGAGGCTAGTCGGTGAGCCTGGAAGCGAGTTTTGAGCAACGGGAAAACCAATGATGGAAGTCCCGCTATCGTGATTTAAGAGAGAGCTAATATTGTTGATACCTGATCGTCCAAACCTTGAGGTATCGGAACTTGATTCCACTTGTCCCTGCTGTTCATCTACATTATGGACTTCTGTTGTTTTCAATGGAATGTTGACAGGCTGTTGTATTTGATCATTGGTCGTTAAGTGCCACTGGCCACATTCATTGGGAGCAGGTGTCGAAAATTGTGCCGGGGCTCGAGGTAACTGACGCTGAGGATCTCCTCCATGAGCCCTATTCTGCGCGCGAGGCGCCTGGAGAGGTGCCAGATCTCCGGTGACGCTCTGCAGCTTTCGCCTCACGGATGCAGTACCTCTTTTTCGAGTTGCTTTGATCACGCGATTGGCACCTTGCTTTGGTAGAGGTCCTGGTTCACGTCTGTTTACATCGACATCGCCGGGAGCCGATGCAAAAGGCTGGTTCGAGGGATATCTTAGTTGAGACTGCTGGTCAGGTTGAAATTGGAAAGGAATGACATTCCGAAAAGGTTCGCGTAAGGCTTGTAGAATTTGGTCGCTCAAATCATTCCAGCCTCCTTCCTCGCATTTACAAACAATGCCAAGTTCTCGAAGAAACTGGGTAACCTTGGCAAATGTGCTCCCTTTAACTGGCACATACGTCTCCCAGCTGTAGAGAATTTAGAACCGTTATCAAAAACACAGACAGTGTGACTTACACAAGATCGCTGATTTTCTCAGGAAACAGAAATAAGCATCCTGAACATAGCGCATTCATGAATCCACGGTACCTTCGACCTATCTTCGCCCAGCCAACCACCCTTTCCCGAACGATATCGCAATTATGCTTCCCTGATTGACAAATTACGGCAACCACAAAGGAAACACCACCATTTTCAGTTTTGTGAAGTAGATTCTTTGTAGCATCGAGCTCTGAGATGAGGTCATAGTAGAAAGTTGTCAGAAATCTCCACAAGATCCTGCAAAGAATGCGGTCTGTTTCCACGTTGCAGGTATATTCATAATAATCAGACGGAGATTGAAGGTCGACACCGTTTTTGGACCACTGACGTAAAACATCACGGGGGTTTTGTTTAAGAACCTCCGCAACCTTTTGAGGGATATTGATGTCTTGAGATTGAATTGACCATAATGAACCGAGCTTGTATGACCGAGAATTCCTGTTTTTGGCCGTTGGAATCCAGTCCTGGGGCGGTTTATTTGACTGGGATTTCGAAATACTGTTATTTGATATTGCTTTATCCCATGATGCTAATATCTTGGCAAGATTGTTGTGGGATGTCTTTGGGAGCCTTAGGAGATGCTGTTCGATCTCCTCGGCACACTACGCACGGTTAGTGAGGTCAATTCCCCGCAAGTCAAATGGAATTACCTTGTCGTTAATAAGTAGTTCTTCTAAAGTCTGGTGCTCCAATCGTGAGCGTATGTCCTTGCTAAATTGCTGACCCATTGCGGAGGTGAAGAGATGGAGTGAATGTGTTGGAGCGTTCAACGCGGGGCGGTCTGTCCAGAAATAAGGTGGACTTCCCGACCATTAACCGTAGACGCTGAATGAGGAGCTAGCACTAGCGCCGCTTTGGACATACCAAACGTTCCAGAACGTTTTTAAATTGGGTTACGGTGGACACCACGATTTCTCAGCTGTACAACTCCTACAGCCAAGAGGGAACAGAACAGCCCAATGGGAAATCCGCCAGAAATCCATGTCAACAGCCTGTCTCGGTGTTGCTGTACACAAAATTGAAAACCATCATCAAGGTGGCATCGACTCAACCCGCGTTCAAAGAATGGACTAGTATTAATATAGAAAGGTGTCAGACAATTGAGGGTCACAAAAGATCGAGTATAATGGCGCCATAGGCGCCAATTGTATGGAATGAGAATTATCTAAGAAGCATCGTAACCGTACAAAGTAGATTGCAGTGGTTGTCTTATATAGACAACAGCCTGATTGAAGGACTTCTCTCCCGAGAAAGGAGAGAAGTCGGCTGCTGGGTAGGCTTGAGATGTGACAAAAGGACATAACAAATCCGTTGATGAAGTTTATGCACGAGCGCGCTTCCTCCGATGAAGATGGAATGTGTCCCAGAATCAAATAATGCGAACCACTGGGACTAGCAGATACAGTGCCTAAGCAATTCGGAATATGATGTGAGCCTGAGTAACGACGATGAATAGTATGACATTGGTATGAGATAGCCCGTAGTTGAATCCCCCCAGATGTTGTGATACAATCCCAAAGCCGGCTGAGGGTTCTGCGGCTGTTCCATTAAGAGGAAATCGAAGAGGATGGGACTACGGTTTGTCGTGACAAATCATGAATGCAAACACGTAACCTACATGTGATGTGGCTAACAGAACAGTTGTTGGCCAAATGTCGAACAAAAGCTGCTCAATTGATCAGGGATAACACCGAGAACGCCAATGTGGCTTTGTAAACAACTCTTCACCTACGTATCAGAGCTTTTCTGTTGCTTCGCTGTTGATAATATGACAGATGGCAAATGCCCTTGAAGGTGGCTTGTCGTGGATCTCTGTACACGTCCTGGTATCAAAGGAGTACCATGCGAGCTTTTGGCGGGGCCCAATAGGTGCCCCACCAGCGGTGCAGCCTCTCGCACAGCCCGCTCAGATGGAGCGGGTTGAAGATTCCAACCACTTCCCTGACGACTGTCTTCCTCCAGAAGACGAGTACAGTTCTCGAGAGGCCTTGTACGCAGCGATCAACGCTTGGGCAGCACCAGAGGCTATGCATTCGTGACCGGATGGCCAAGGAAAACACCCAATGGCAGGCAACAAGTTGTCTTTAACTGTGACCGTGGTGCAGGTCGCACCCCAGATGCCTTAACTGTAAGACAGCGGCGCACTACTACAAAGCGTACAGGATGCCAATTCTCCGTTCTTGTGAAGGAGGGTCTTGATAAAGCCTCTTGGAAGCTTACGCATCGTCCTGGTAGCGAATATGCTATCCACAACCATGAGCCAAGTACACAGAGGTCTGCGCATCCGGTCCATCGCAAGCCATCTCCTGCCGATATGTCAACCGTTCACAACCTTGGCAACGAAGCCGTGGCGCCAAAAGAGATCAAATCTTACCTACGCAACCACTCGGAGACTCTTGCGACCCAGCAAGATATCTACAACTGCATGGCGCAAGGCAAACGAGACCTCGCCAAGGGCCAAAGTAACATACACGCTCTCGCTAATGAGCTTGACAGCGAGGGATTTTGGAATCGAATGCAGCTCGTTGAGTATGGACGGGTCACAGGCGTGTTATTTGCCCATCCACAGTCACTTGCATCCTCAAGTGCTATCCGGATTTGCTCAGATTGGACTGCATTTACAAGACGAACAAGTACAAGATGCCTCTTCTCGACATCGTTGGAGATGCCTGTCAAAGATCATTCTGCGTTGCCTTTGCCTTCCTGAGCGGCGAAGACGAGAGGGATTATATCTGGGCGCTAGATCGGCTACGGTCGATATATGAACTCTGCGGTGCAAGGCTTCCATCTGTTATCCTCACAGATCGCTGCCTCGCTTGCATGAATGCTGTATCTCATTCTCGCTGCTTCCCGGCTGCAAAAAGTTTGTGGGTTCGCTCTAGCAGATGTTGCAAACGTGGGCTCTGAATCACGAGGCAGACTAGGCACCATTAGCTGCTGTAAACCCTAACTATGAATCGGACTGTCACAATGCATTAATGACATTCAAATACTATCAAGTAATCAACAGTTGAATTCAGAATTTCTTGACTAGAGTCGCTGCTTGAGCGGCTGAGAAATTTTGGCTTATATCAAATGGCGTTGAAATTGCTGAATTTTCTCGTTCTAGTAGATACATGGAGATACGGAGAAATTGGTAACTTAACGGAGTCCGAGTAATAATGTTATCTGTCCATCCGCAGACAGTTGGCCATTGTGTGAGTGCCCCAAGCCCCGCTAACTACGCATGGATGCACGGACAAAAGTGCGGCCACATCCGAGTAGATAAACAATCCAGCCTTTGTGTCGTCATATGGCCAGACCGAGTTCATTCGTTGCCAGTAATCGGATCGTCAGTATACGCGACAGGTACGATGGATGACATCGAAGCCTTGCGGCGAAAGCTCCGAGAGGCTGAGAACCGCGCCCTAGAGGAGCAACGACGGCGCGAAGAGGCTGAGAACCGCGCTTTGCAGGACCAACACCGACGCCAAGTAGCCGAAGCACTCACCGCAGCTTCCCAGCCACAGAACCTTCAGCAATATCTCGAGACATGTCATTCGCTTCATCTTGCTATTGAGGTGGTAACAAATCGATCTTTGACTACGCAAGGAGAAACCACCCACCCCACTGGCCGAATTTTCCCTCGACGAATTATCCCCTGGGACGATTTTGCAATGAGACAAGAGGAGATCTGGAACGACCTGTCGATTAGCGAGCTGTTTTGTGAACCAGCATATCCGTCTAATCATCAGATGGAATACGTCAGGTCATTGCTCAAACCTTTTAGCAGTGAAGTTGGGCTCCGGGATTTCGAGCGCGATGTGGTAGAAAACGCGGTTCAGAAGTTGGTCGATCGAGCAAACACAGATCCATTGCTGCGAGTTCTCTCGGTATCCAGGGAACAATGACGTTTGAAAGCCAAACGAATCTCGGCACGACTGACGATCTTATATTTGAGCCCATGGAACACATGTCATTGGACCGAGATGACACGGGTGATACAGCGCAAGGATCTGCCCCGAAGCAGGCGCCAGCTCCCAAGTCCCGTCGCAAAGCGAGGGGAATGGGCAATCGGGCGGATCATTTTGTATATACAGGACTTCAGAGTGCCGAAATGTCCCAGCCCTTGCTGTTGAGTACAAGGCACCGCACAAATTAAGTCTCGACGAAATCATCACTGGTCTTGAGGCGGAAGTTCAGCCGGAACGTGATGTGATTAACAAGGACAGTCAGGGCTTTGTCTTGACTGCCCGACGCCTTGCCGCCGCTGTGGTCACTCAGCTCTTCTCGTACATGATCGGCAAGGGCATTCAGTTTGGTTATATATGCACGGGTCAGGCATTAGTCTTGCTTCATATCCCGAACGATCCTTCCACCGTCTACTTCTCGGTATGCGTGCCAAATCAAGATGTAATGGACGACGACGAGACGAGTCTCCGTCGTACAGCCGTTGCACAGGTTTTCGCTTTCATTCTCCAGGCTCTCCGCGCCAGGCCACCACCTCAGATGTGGCATGACGCGGCCGAGACACTCGGTATATGGACTGTCGAGTACGATGATATTCTGAGGGATATCCCACCATCGGAGCGCAAACGCAAAGAGCCACGTGCGTCTCCTTATAGACCACAACATTGGAAGGGCTTTAAGAGATCCCCAATTCGGACTCGCTCCCGCTGCCAGCAACCAGGCACCAGCGTTGAACAGCCGAAGGAGGATGACGAAGATCCCCCGTCGCCTACTCCAAATCCATCTCGCACAAGTGGGAAATTGTTACCCTCGATGAGCAAAAGCTCAAGCTCGAAGAGTGGGAATCAAGGACGGCGCAGTGGCCGGCAGCAACAGCGGGGCGTAGTAAAGAAGTCGGATATTCAAGACCGGCCACTCTGTACTCAGCGTTGTCTCCTAGGATTAGCACATGGCAGACCCTTAGACAAGAGCTGTCCCAGCGCAAGTTATCATGGGCAAAGGCACATTAGTCGACTTCAGTTCCGGCGGCTCGTCCGACACCAACTTGCTGTAGACCGTGGATATGATGCAGATTGCGCGCCGCTCCATAGATCTGGCTCGCGTGGGTCACTCTTTAAAGTGCGGCTGACATCTCACGGCTACACACTAGTTGCCAAAGGTGTTGAGGGCGCAGATCTTGTCTGCCTGCAGCACGAAAAGGATATATATGACCAACTCCAACCCATCCAGGGAGAGTACGTCCCTATATGCTTGGGCATTATTGTTCTGGCCATACCATATTATTATGACAGCGGCATTTGGGTGCATTTCATGTTCCTCAGTTGGGCTGGACAACCAATTCTTGACTGTGTTGACCCGGCTATGAAAGCAGGTATTGCCACCGCTGTTGCCATGGCCTACAGAGCAGTGCACAAGTTGCGCGTTCTTCACCGTGACGCACAGCCCCGTAATATCCTATACAATACGACTAGTCGTGGGTTTATGGTTGTGGATTTTGAGCGCGCGGAGTTCCACTGTCGCCGGCCGTTGGTCTCAATTAAGCCGAACCTGAATCGGAAGAGAAAGCGTAGGGCAGTACAGAAACAAAAGAAGAACGACTTTGCGAGAGAGCTGGAGTCTGCCGTGGCAAATGCATTAAGTTGTGTCGTGAACTTACCCTTTTGAGAACCGGATCTACGTGGACGACGTTTAGCTGTATAACTGACGGTGCTGACTAGATAGATTCGCGGCTTTGATTTGGATGGTCGATCTTTCGTCACGTTCATCTCTGGGGGTGTGTGTATGTATAAATGGAAAAGGGAGTTATTATGGAGATCAGTCTTCTTGCGGAACCGTCTCTTCGTACGCACCCTCTCATCGTAGCATTAGAACATAATGTTAGGGGAACAGCACCATAGCAACTATCGGAGAGAGGAGGAAGCTGCAACAACCAGCAGCCATGGCCACTGCTTCCCGCAACGTCTGACCACTGGCAATCGGAGTACTCTCACTCTGTCATGTGCGTTGTAGACACGGGCAAGTCGCTCCTAGTTTGCGGGTATAAGCTCTTCCCAACGATTGCGTATTATTTTCAGTCTCTACGTCCATCGCTTTGGGGCTCACTGTCTTCGCTAGATGTTTCCACAGTCTCCTGGCAAGTACGTGCGTTGTGGCCGGCCTCGCCACATGTGCCACAGTGCCGTCCTTTCCTGTCATTGCGTTTCCCCCGACTGCTTTGCCGTACATGTCGCTTAACCTGCCCGCTTCCCGTTTTTGAATTATTAAGCTTGGAAGCAATCCAAGTCTCTGACTTATTTTCCCTCCTCCATGCTTGTAGACGGCGTTCTTCCAGCTGGGATAATAGACGGTGTTGACCAGATAGATTCGTGACTTTAACTTGGATAGTCGACCTTTCGCCATCTTTGCTGCCAGGGGTATTTATATTTAAGGCATCTCCGCAACTAATCGTACTAGCCCTAGATCGGGTTTCAAGACCGTAACCTGAGTTGGAAACGTCATCATACTCGGGCTCACATCCCGTACTCGGCACATCCTTGCCCACAAAGTGCTGTAACAACGATAATGCCTCTATGAGGGCTGCGCGTAAAGTCGAGCATGATTTGCATTGGCTAGCGTGCCTCATATACTGCATTCCGGGTAAATAGTTCGTCTGCTGTGGTGCAGCTAATGGCGAACAACTTGCCTCTGCTTTACGAGGTAGACGCGCTGTGGCTTCCTCGCGGCGGCGAGAGCTGCACTGTCCCGAGGCGCACGTTGGCACAAAAGCACAAGCGCTCGAGTGAATGTTTGCAGGAGCGCTGAGAAAAGTCACATTATGAGTTGTGGCAGCATCTAAGCCTCTCTTTGAATAGCACATAACGGCACGTTCTCCAGAGCCATTGTCGTTCCAATTGCTGTTATCTCCATGGGAAGAATCACTGCCTTCATCAGCGGAAGACAACTTTGGCCGCTTCGTCTGCCGTTCATCAGTTGTTTCAACGCCGTCATCGTCATAGGCTAGCTGTTGTTTAACATTCGGGTTATTGGGCTGTTGATCCGCCTGCAGCCAACGATGACAGCCCACATCCTTTTCGCGAAGATTCACCGGCGAATGGGTCTCAGTCCTGGCTCCAGCACGAGATTCGCCTGGAGATGGCAGAAATAGCGGACATGTAGCGTGATTGCTGTTGTTTGTTGATGGCCTTGGTGAGTCCACGGTGATGCACTCTTCGACTCCGAAACATGATTGCACTTCGGCCGATTGCCAACACGCAGTCTGCGCTGACTGTAATGCAAGACTGCTTGAAGTATGGGGACGCTCGCAAACCACTTGATTGGCCTCGTTATAAGCAGAGCAGATATCCCCGAGTTGCAGAGCTGCACAAGAGTCGCTGGATAAATCGACAAGTGTAGGATTTATAAACATCGTATCATTTACTTCTATAACATGTTAATGTCTTCAATTCGAATAGTTACTCCGACAGCATCATCACCCGTCATACCATGATCCTCTGACATCTCAGTTACTGCCTCGTTTTGCTCGAGATTTTCCTGAGGCACAAACCCCTTCGAATATGTCTTAGGTATAGAGACCTTCTTCGATTTTGGTAACCGTTGAAGGCTTGGATCGTAGGACTTGAACTTAAGCGGTTTGTGCATGATGCAGTGGAGGAAAAATGTCAGTGAAATTTATAGTCGAACGAGATTCAGGGTCAGAATATTGGAGAGGGAGGAGGTGCTTCTGATATAGACGACTGGGATGTCGGGCTCCAAACAGGGTCACATCTTCGTGCCGTGCTCTTGCTAGAAGAGAAAGCGGACCACTCCGACCTGAATTATACCAGTCATTCCCTATGCAGTCGGCTCCTTCCTGTAATTTATTTTGGCTGTTCGACCCCCTTCATGACGCGCCGTGACAACAAATCAAGGCAGGTGATATGAGCGCTTCCGGGCTACAAAGTCCCGTGGAGCCAATCGCAACTCTTACACTGCTAAGATGAACGCGGGAATCATGTCGCGATGCATACTGCGGCTGGTTGATCAACATCGTCAGCCAATCCCTTGGTCGGAGAAGACGCCAATGTGACAAAACGGTCCGACTCAGCTGTTTAGGGGTGGCAGCTTCGTCACCGCACCTTCTGCCGCAGCTAGTGGGAAACTAGTGAGCCTTGTTTGTCTTGCCAAATGCAAACAACAGGGAAAACGAGGCAAACTGGTGCCGCGTAACCGGCCAGCTGACGATCCATGACAAAGTATGTTCTGTCTGTGTGTCGCATTCACTCACCATGATGGTGATGAGTTTGACCTCACAGTGTACCTCAGGCATAGTGAATATTATTAGCGGATGCCATTGTTTAGTCTGTAATGCTGTTACAAACAGACTTGGGAGCGAGCTGCGAAGCCATTCGGTGCGAATTATGTGTCCTAAACCTAATAGCTTAGACACGTCCTCTTCAAATCCGTGGAAAACTATCCTTGCATAGGGGCAGGGCGAGGGTGAGGGCGTTCGGCCTTCTACTGCTTGGTCGAGTAAATGGAGCAAACTAGTCATCAAGTCCATAAAGTGATGGACAACGTGCTACATGCATCTCCGGAGGCCTGTTGGTCGACCAGGTTCGTAGCAACCCAACCGTTCTTGTGACTGGGCGGACGAAGATGAAACGCTGAGGCGTCGACATTTACATCATGTCGTAGCTGCCTTCTGTTGATCTTCACCTTCGGTCAGTCCCCGAAATGAAGCCGCCTCCCATCCGTAGCAGAACAATCGAGACCGCCATCGACCCAATTTCCTGTCCGACTCTGCAGCCAATCTTTTGATGTCGATGCTTTTCTTAGATTGGTGTCGTAATGATTACCCTCCCTGAACTCCTGGCAGAAGTCCCAGCGAGGTGATGAGTGCAGATACGAGCTGCCGGCTGAAATGCGTCATCCTTTCTTCCCATGATTGGAGGGCTTGTGATGGTTATTTGCAAAAGTTCTTGCCTTCTTGAGTAATTCTGAAGGGGCATGACGTGTTCCCAATTGTGTCGAGACTTCTGCACTGACGAGAGTCTTCAGATAGTTTTTCCCTTTCGGGTAATTTTGGAAGAGGTCTGCGAGGTTGGTCAGCTAGTGAACATCGAACCGACCATTTCCAATCCAATTCAAATGAAGATCCCAGTCACTAGCGGTCGGCAGAATTCCTCAGCTGCGCCCCGGGCATCCCGTACTTGTGAAAGGAGGTACGGACATCATGAAAGTATCAGAGGATCCAGCGCTTCGGCTGCGTTATGCGGTGGTTAATGTTCCTCCTCGTTTGTCATGTTGATCGTGGTGTGTGGGCAACGTAAAGGTTGATGAGTAAGCCGGCACTAAAGAAGAAGAGAAAGGTTAAAAGAACAACTTGAAGGGACTCGACGGTACTTGTGGGCGGAGTTGGCGAGACGGCCGCTTTATAGGCGACGCAAAAGCGGCGAGCGAAGGAGGGGCTGAGAATTCCCCGATAAGGGAACCACCGCCTGTGGTGGGCCAAGCCCACCATTTCCCGAGGCGGACAAGCCGTCGTTTTTAATACTTTTTTTATTATATTATTTTTAATATTATATTTTTAAAAAAAATATTAATAAAATTTATAA